AGCAATTCGTGAGGCAGCTCAATTCATGTTCGGTTATCGTTTGAGATCATTTTTTGCACTTTTAATTACCATTGGTGCAAAAGGTGTATTAATCTGGAATGATCTTAAAGACATTATTTGTTTAGATTTAATCGACAAATATCCAGATAATAAAATTAAAGCGTATCGAGAAGGTCTAAGACAACTCGATAGAGCGTTGAGAAGGCACGGTACTTCAATACGCAAGCAAGGTTTTAAAGATGTAATCAATGATTGTACTTCCGAATTAGTTAGGGAGTTACTTGATTACAATACAGATAGTTTAAAGTCGTTCGTTCAACAATGGTTACCATTGTTGTCGAAAGATCAACGAATTATTTTCGATTACGTTGAATCACTTCTATCTCATGACGATTCAAATCGTATTTTACTTGACCATCGTAGAGCAATTTTTATTGATGCTCCAGGCGGCTATGGGAAAAGTAAATTACTTGAAGTTATCGCAGCTCAAGTTAGGTCAAATAATGATGTTGTTTTATGTGTTGCCTCTTCTGGGATTGCGGCACTTAACCTTCCAGGTGGAACAACAGCCCATTCAATGTTCAAGTTGCCTCTTTCAATTTTGAAAGATTCAACCGAATATTGGTATGTATCTACTCATAGTCAAAGAGCCGAATTGATTAAAAATGCTAAAATAATTATTTACGATGAAGCTCCTATGACTAGTAAATACATATTCGAATTAATTGATAGATCGTTAAAGGATTTAATGAGATGTCATTTACCATTTGGTGGTAAAATAATAATATTTTCTGGCGATTTTCGACAGGTAGCTCCAATTGTAAAGAACGCCCTTTCTTCTTCGGAAGTTGTGGCAGTTTCGATGAAATTTTCACACATTTGGAGCCACATAAAAATATTTCAACTTACCACACCGCATCGTGTAAAGAATAATCGACAGTTTTCTAAATTTTTGTTAGATGTCGGTGATGGTAAAATTCCAATCGTACGTACAAGCACTAGTAATTGTTTAATACCATTATTAGAAGAAGTCAAGTACGTAACAATTTTAAATGATTTATTAGATTTTGTATTTCCTATTGATCTTTTACAAAATTCTAATGCTTGTGCAACACGCGCAATTTTATCAACGTTAAATCTTAACGTTAATGAAATTAACAACATTGTGTTGGATAGATTATCGGGCGATGCTGTAACTTTATTTAGTGCCGACTATTTAGATGAAGAACAAAATTCATTGGCCGGCACAATAACGGATGAAGTAATGCATCAAGCTACAAAATCTGGTGTACCAAATCATTTATTAAAATTAAAAGTTGGTGCACTTTGTCTCATCACGAGAAATCTCAATTTTGAAGATCGCTTAGTGAACGGGACAAAAGTTGTAGTAGTCTCGATTAGTAATAGAATTGTTACTGTTAGGCGTCCAAATGACCCAAACAATGAACAATATGCTATTCCTAGAATAAATTTTAAATTAGAAATTGACAAAAAATGTGATTTTACAATGAATAGACGACAATTTCCATTACAATTGGCCTATGGAATGTCTATTCATAAATCACAAGGTCAAACTTTGGACATAGTAGGAGTGGATTTAAGATCACCATGTTTTACACATGGTCAACTTTACGTTGCACTCAGTAGAGTCAGATCACCAGATGATATACGTGTTTTGATATCATCTGACGATATTATTGAAAATAAAGCACACGCGTCTAATATTGTTTTTAAAGACCTTATTAGATGATTTTTTTTCAATTTTTTAAATATTTCATTTCTCATTTTGAAATTGTTTTAAAATTTGCTTAAATTGTTCAAAATAAATTTCTGTTTGATGACATACATGTCTAAATGTGACCTAAAAAGCGTTAAGCTTACCTACATTACCATTGCAGGTTAATAAAGTCACACATGTTTAGATTCTTACGGATTTTAACATTGTTCAATTTGAGTATTTCAATATCTATTTTTTAGATTTATTTAGATTCTTATCTAAATTTGATATTTTTATAATATTCAGTTCATAATGGTTCAGTTAAACTGTAAGGTTACAATACTTAAAAATGACTAATAAAAACGTTATACCTATCTCATATAGCAATTAGCAAAGTCGCAAACATAAACTGTATGCGTATTTAACCTTTGCATTAATAATTCTATATTACCTGGTTAACAAAAATTTAGTCATAAAAGTTAAGTTTCCAAAAACAGATTGTAATTCTGACCGTTTGTAACTTTTATAAAAATATACAATTGGTACAATAATATTGTCCAATTTACATGTCGTAGGGCTACAGGCGAGAGACATGTATAAAATAAACACAACGCGCCAAAGTTCTACCTCATAAAAATATTAATTTTATAACAAATGAAAATCGTTATAAAGTTAATATTTCAAGGTGGTGTGGAAATGAACTACAAATTTTGAAATGAACTGGAGAAGAGGATCCTCGCTCGCTTGGTGAAAGGTAAACATTCATTTATTTACGATAGAGAACTACTTATTACTATAACGATATTTTTTTTATTTTTTAGGAATTCTTAAAACTCTACTACGGCCTTTTACACCTTAGACATTTGGATAAGCAGATCCTCACTCGTTTCGCTCGCTCGACAGCTCCAACGTCTTCTGGTCTTCTAAATTTAAACGTAAGTTAATTTTAAGTTAAATTAAAGCACGGTCCTATATTTCTAAGGTCTGGAATCATGGGTCGAAAAAGTGATTGGCTGAGATAAGTTGGTCCTCCGATCGTTCGCCACTTAAGATTAAAAAATCCTCAAATAACGGGACACATTCTCTAATGCATAAGCATAGAGAGATGTCAGATCTTAGAAATATAGGACCGTGATTTTAAGTAAATTAATTTACTAATAGTCTCGATTCGTTCGCTCGACTATTACTATTTGGATCAACGGGGTCAGTGACCAAAACCGCGGTACGAAAGACAAGGCCGGTAGGCCTTGGCTTTGTGCCGCGGGGGGGTTGAAAGGGGGCGAAGCCCCCTTTCCGAGCTTTCAGCGAGTCTTATATATACTAAAACCCCAGGCGACATCCTATTCATTGGCGAGATTTATTCTTTTTGAATTATTCGGGGACGGAGAGGGGTGTAGGAAGATGAAAACGGACCCGCTGATTACGAAAATGACCTTCTTTTCCCCGGCTAAATTCGTTTTCGCTCGCAATCGCGATTTGAAAATGAAAATTGTCGGCCATGTTGAAATTTTTTGAAGTGTACGTAATTTTGTGTCATTTTTCGTTCTTTCGCGTGGATCCGAATTTTGCCGAACCTTCACTCGGCGAACCGATCTCCGAGAAATTTTCAAATTACTTGAGTAAATGTAAGTAAATGAATAAAAAATCGTTCCTACGAGCGTTTTATTGAATAATTTGTAAAAATAAACGAAAATAAATAACCAGCTAAAAAATTTTCGTCGAGAAATTTGAATATGTCAACAGTGTCATTTGAAACTGCCGACGGGACGGGTCGCTTGTGCTTCGATCCGTCTAATTTCGCATTTTTAATGGATTTTCAGCGTTAAATTCAAGGTAAGTAAGCTTATTTGACGATTTAATACTTCTACAAACAATCTCCTACGATATTTAAATGGTCCCGAATAAGAAATAACCCATTTAAAAATTGCAAGGTTAAGTTGAATAAAGCCGTTTATTAAGCAGATTATTTTACTTTTTAGAGGAGGTGCAGCCTTTATTTGACCAAAAATAACCAACTGAAGATGAAAACAAGGTCCCAGTAAGCATATTGTGCCAAATTCCCTTGATAATTGGTCAATATTTGGATTCGAAGAATGGCCTACGTAGAAAATCCTACCTCAATACATGGTGCTACATTTAGAGGAATACCACTTTTTTGGTGTAAGAACCGTTTGTAAAGTATAGATCTGCCGAAAGAAGACTAAATAGTGGTCATTTTAAAGAAAAAAACGATAAAAATCGGTCAAGAATTAACGAAGAAGATTCATAGGCCTTTTACCATTCAGGTCAGTGTCTACATAAACCTTACGATACCTACGTAAATTTAAGTAAATGAATAAAAAATCGTTTCAGCAACCTTTTTTGTTGCATAATCTGTAAAAATAAACAAGATTAAGTTAAATAATCCGTTTAAAATTCGTCTAGAAATTTGGAAATGGAAAATGCCAAAACTGTCAAGTGTCAACAGTGTCATTTGAAACTACCGTCGGAAAAGATACTTGCGCTTCGATCCGTTTAATTTCGCATTTTTAATGGATTTTCAGCGATAAATTCAAGGTAAGTGAGCTTATTTGACGATATTAATACCTTTACAAACAATCTACAATATTTAAATGGTCCCGTACAAGAAATAACCCATTTAAAACATTGTAGGTTAAGTTTCATAAAGCCGCTTTTTAACCAAATTATTTTACTTTTTAGAAGACCTGCAGCCTATATTTCACGATTATTACCAAACTGATGTTGAAAAGAAGGTCCCAGTAAGCATATTGTGGTAAATTCCGTCGATTATTAGTCGATATTTGGATTCGAAGATGGCCTACGTAGAAAATCCTACCTCAATAAATGGTGCTACATTTGGAGGAATACCACTTTTTGGGTGTAAATACAGTTTCCAGAGTACGGATATGTCGAAAGAGGACTAAGTTAGCGTCGTTTTAAAGAGAAAATGATTAAAATCGGTCCAGAAATAACGAAGATGAATGAACCAATCATTTTACCTTCGTTCGAAGAACTACGTGGGTTACTTTTATTCAAAAGTATAAGCTGCCTTAATCGTAAGTACTTGATAAAATGCTTTATTAACACAAAATATCAATCGATTAAGATTGTTTTATAGGATAATCGTAAAAATTTATTGATATTTAACAAAGTATCGAATGATTTTTTGTTACCCGTAGAATAAAAAGGACCTTTTATTACTTATAATTTCACCTTATTTTGCAGGATTGGCACTGAAAAATAGGAAGTAAATGACTACTAGAAACGTAAAGCAAACCACCAACAACAATTAGGACAATATTTTGGATTTTTTCTGCGATTTTTACCATTCTTCGAAACATCTTTTTCTTCGATCGGAGTATCTTCGGGTACCAAAATAATGTGTTTAAAACGTAAGTACTTACTAATATTATGTTAACAGGACAAAATATCATTCGAAAACAATTATTTGAAACAGAAATCATTAAAATTGGTTGAAAAATAACTTGGTAACGAATGATTTTTTGTTATTAGTAAAATTAAAAAGGGCACATTTGAGTAATTTGGAGTTTTATGGTATTATCTACCGTTTTCTACCTTTTATTAAAATGCTCTTACCTTTAAAATGAATACTAAAGGTAAGAATTGAATTTTCTATAAGAATGAACCCATTTTTAATGTTTTTTTTGTATTTTTCAGGATTATAAAGCTGTTTCAAGCCTTATGAGAGAGGATTAGAACGTGAAAAGATTATCCATATAGCTAATTTGGACAATTTGAAGAGTTTCTTTGGAATTTCGACCATTTTCTTCTGTTTTCAAGACTACTCTTCCTTCAAAATGAATACTGAAAAGGTAAGAATTAAATTTTCTTTAAGAATGAACCCATTTTTAATGATTCTTTTTCTATTTTTCAGGGTAATGAAGCTATTTTGACCATTTTGTTCTGTTTTCAAGACTACTCTGTCCTTAAAATGAATACTGAAAAGGTAAGAATTAAATTTTCTATGAAAATGAACCTTTTTTTAATAATTTTTTGTTCTATTTTTCAGGTTTAAGACTTTCGAGAGAGTATTAGAAAGCGAAAAGATTATCCATATAGCTAATTTGGACAATTTGAAGAGTTTCTTTGAAATTTCGAACGTTTGCTTCTGTTTTCAAGACTACTCTGCCTTCAAGATGAATGCTGAAAAGGTAAGAATTAAATTTTCTTTAAGAATGAACCCATTTTTAATGATACTTTTTCTATTTTTCAGGATTATAAAGCTGTTTCAAGCCTTATGAGAGAAGATTTGAACTCGATATGACTAGCAAAACAGTCAATTTGGATAATTTGGAGAGTTTCTTTGGAATTTTGACCGTTTTCTTCCGTTTTCAAGACTATTATGTCTTCAAAATGAATACTAAAAAGGTAAGAATTGAATTTTCTATAAGAATAAATCCATTTTTAATGTTTTTTTTTTCTATTTTTCAGGATTATTCAGCTGTTTCAAGCCTTATGAGAGAGGATTCGAACTCGATATGACTAGCAATACAGTCAATTTGGATAATTTTGAGAGTTTCTTTGGAATTTCGACCGTTTTCTTCCGTTTTCAAGACTATTATGTCTTCAAAATGAATACTAAAAAGGTAAGAATTGAATTTTCTATAAGAATAAATCCATTTTTAATGATTCTTTTTCTATTTTTCAGGATTATTCAGCTGTTTCAAGCCTTATGAGAGAGGATTCGAACTCGATATGACTAGCAATACAGTCAATTTGGATAATTTGGAGAGTTTCTTTGGAATTTCGACCGTTTTCTTCCGTTTTCAAGACTATTATGTCTTCAAAATGAATACTAAAAAGGTAAGAATTGAATTTTCTATAAGAATAAATCCATTTTTAATGATTCTTTTTCTATTTTTCAGGATTATAATGCTGTTTCAAGCCTTACGAGAGAGGATTAGAACTCGATATAACTAACAATACAGTCAATTTGGATAATTTGGAGAGTTTCCTTTGAATTTCGACCATTTTCTTCCGTTTTCAAGACTATTATGTCTTCATAATGAATACTGAAAAGGTAAGAATTGAATTTTCTATAAGAATAAATCCATTTTTAATGATTCTTTTTCTATTTTTCAGGATTATTCAGCTGTTTCAAGCCTTATGAGAGAGGATTCGAACTCGATATGACTAGCAATACAGTCAATTTGGATAATTTGGAGAGTTTCTTTGGAATTTCGACCGTTTTCTTCCGTTTTCAAGACTATTATGTCTTCAAAATGAATACTTAAAAGGTAAGAATTGAATTTTCTATGAGAATAAACCCATTTTTAATGATTCTTTTTCTATTTTCCAGGATTATAATGCTGTTTCAAGCCTTATGAGAGAGCATTAGAACTCGATGTGACTAGCAATACAGTCAATTTGGATAATTTTGAGAGTTTCTTTGGAATTTCGACCGTTTTCTTCCGTTTTCAAGACTATTATGTCTTCATAATGAATACTGAAAAGGTAAGAATTGAATTTTCTATAAGAATGAATCCATTTTTAATGTTTTTTTTTCTATTTTTCAGGATTATTCAGCTGTTTCAAGCCTTATGAGAGAGGATTCGAACTCGATATGACTAGCAATACAGTCAATTTGGATAATTTTGAGAGTTTCTTTGGAATTTCGACCGTTTTCTTCCGTTTTCAAGACTATTATGTCTTCAAAATGAATACTAAAAAGGTAAGAATTGAATTTTCTATGAGAATAAACCCATTTTTAATGATTTTTATTCTATTTTTCAGGATTATAATGCTGTTTCAAGCCTTATGAGAGAGGATTCGAACTCGATATGACTAGCAATACAGTCAATTTGGATAATTTGGAGAGTTTCCTTGAAATTTCGACAGTTTTCATCCATTTTCAAGACCATTATGTCTTCAAAATGAATACTGAAAAGGTAAGAATTGAATTTTCTATAAGAATAAATCCATTTTTAATGATTCTTTTTCTATTTTTCAGAATTATAATGCTGTTGCAAGCCTTATGAGAGAGGATTCGAACTCGATATGACTAGCAATACAGTCAATTTGGATAATTTTGAGAGTTTCTTTGGAATTTCGACCGTTTTCTTCCGTTTTCAAGACTATTATGTCTTCAAAATGAATACTAAAAAGGTAAGAATTGAATTTTCTATGAGAATAAACCCATTTTTAATGATTTTTATTCTATTTTTCAGGATTATAATGCTGTTTCAAGCCTTATGAGAGAGGATTCGAACTCGATATGACTAGCAATACAGTCAATTTGGATAATTTGGAGAGTTTCCTTGAAATTTCGACAGTTTTCATCCATTTTCAAGACCATTATGTCTTCAAAATGAATACTGAAAAGGTAAGAATTGAATTTTCTATGAGAATAAACCCATTTTTAATGATTTTTATTCTATTTTTAGGATTATTCAGCGTTTTCAAGCCTTATGAGAGAGGATTAGAACTCGATGTGACTAGCAATACAGTCAATTTGGAGAGTTTCCTTGAAATTTCGACCGTTTTCTTCCGTTTTCAAGACTATTATGTCTTCAAAATGAATACTAAAAAGGTAAGAATTGAATTTTCTATGGAAAGGAACCCATTTTTAATGATTTTTATTCTATTTTTCAGGATTATAATGCTGTTTCAAGCCTTATGAGAGAGGATTCGAACTCGATATGACTAGCAATACAGTCAATTTGGATAATTTGGAGAGTTTCTTTGGAATTTCGACCGTTTTCTTCCGTTTTCAAGACTATTATGTCTTCAAAATGAATACTAAAAAGGTAAGAATTGAATTTTCTATAAGAATAAATCCATTTTTAATGATTCTTTTTCTATTTTTCAGGATTATAATGCTGTTTCAAGCCTTACGAGAGAGGATTAGAACTCGATATGACTAGCAATACAGTCAATTTGGATAATTTGGAGAGTTTCCTTGAAATTTCGACAGTTTTCATCCATTTTCAAGACCATTATGTCTTCAAAATGAATACTGAAAAGGTAAGAATTGAATTTTCTATGAGAATAAACCCATTTTTAATGATTTTTATTCTATTTTTAGGATTATTCAGCGTTTTCAAGCCTTATGAGAGAGGATTAGAACTCGATATGACTAGCAATACAGTCAATTTGGATAATTTGGAGAGTTTCCTTGAAATTTCGACCGTTTTCTTCCGTTTTCAAGACTATTATGTCTTCAAAATGAATACTAAAAAGGTAAGAATTGAATTTTCTATGGAAAGGAACCCATTTTTAATGATTTTTATTCTATTTTTCAGGATTATAATGCTGTTTCAAGCCTTATGAGAGAGGATTCGAACTCGATATGACTAGCAATACAGTCAATTTGGATAATTTGGAGAGTTTCCTTGAAATTTCGACAGTTTTCATCCATTTTCAAGACCATTATGTCTTCAAAATGAATACTGAAAAGGTAAGAATTGAATTTTCTATGAGAATAAACCCATTTTTAATGATTTTTATTCTATTTTTCAGGATTATAATGCTGTTTCAAGCCTTATGAGAGAGGATTCGAACTCGATATGACTAGCAATACAGTCAATTTGGATAATTTGGAGAGTTTCCTTGAAATTTCGACAGTTTTCATCCATTTTCAAGACCATTATGTCTTCAAAATGAATACTGAAAAGGTAAGAATTGAATTTTCTATGAGAATAAACCCATTTTTAATGATTTTTATTCTATTTTTAGGATTATTCAGCGTTTTCAAGCCTTATGAGAGAGGATTCGAACTCGATATGACTAGCAATACAGTCAATTTGGATAATTTGGAGAGTTTCCTTGAAATTTCGACCGTTTTCTTCCGTTTTCAAGACTATTATGTCTTCAAAATGAATACTAAAAAGGTAAGAATTGAATTTTCTATGGGAAGGAACCCATTTTTAATGATTTTTATTCTATTTTTCAGGATTATAATGCTGTTTCAAGCCTTATGAGAGAGGATTAGAACTCGATATGACTAGCAATACAGTCAATTTGGATAATTTGGAGAGTTTCCTTGAAATTTTGACAGTTTTCTTTCGTTTTCAAGACTATTATGTCTTCAAAATGAATACTAAAAAGGTAAGAATTGAATTTTCTATGGGAAGGAACCCATTTTTAATGATTTTTATTCTATTTTTCAGGATTATAATGCTGTTTCAAGCCTTATGAGAGAGGATTCGAACTCGATATGACTAGCAATACAGTCAATTTGGATAATTTGGAGAGTTTCCTTGAAATTTCGACCGTTTTCTTCCGTTTTCAAGACTATTATGTCTTCAAAATGAATACTGAAAAGGTAAGAATTGAATTTTCTATGAGAATAAACCCATTTTTAATGATTTTTATTCTATTTTTCAGGATTATAATGCTGTTTCAAGCCTTATGAGAGAGGATTAGAACTCGATATGACTAGCAATGCAGTCAATTTGGATAATTTGGAGAGCTTCTTTGGAATTTTGACAGTTTTCTTTCGTTTTCAAGACTATTATGTCTCCAAATTGAATACTAAAAAGGTAAGAATTGAATTTTCGATGAGATTGAACCCTTTTTAATGTTTTTTTTTCTATTTTTCAGGATTATTCAGCTGTTTCAAGCCTTATGAGAGAGGATTAGAACTCGATATGACTAGCAATACAGTCAATTTGGATAATTTGGAGAGTTTCCTTGGAATTTTGACAGTTTTCTTTCGTTTTCAAGACTATTATGTCTTCAAAATGAATACTGAAAAGGTAAGAATTGAATTTTCTATAAGAATGAACCCATTTTTAATAATTTTTATTCTATTTTTCAGGATTATAAAGCTGTTTCAAGCCTTATAAGAGAGGATTAGAACTCGATGTGACTAGGAATACAGTCAAATTTGGATAATTTGGAGAGTTTCCTTGGAATTTCGACCGTTTTCTTCCGTTTTCAAGACTACTTTGTTTTAGACTACTAAATAATTCTTGAACGTTCTAAATGATTCTTGAGCATTCTAGAACTCAGACAGTTCTAAATGATTGTAGAGATGTCTAAATGATTCTAGAACGTTCTAAATTATTCAGTTCGACTGATTTCTCTCTTTCTAATTATTCCACAGCTCGAAGTTGAACGTTCAGTATAAGTGCATATTTTAAATGTTGCTATTTTTTAGTACCAATAAAGTGACACTAAATATTCAAATACTTTTTATTTAATATTAAATTAATTACACTTAAAACATACTATCATTTGCTTCCAATTTTCTCATCCAATCCTAGAAAATAAAATAAAATGATGTAAAACAAAAATCCAAAAATTGTTAATTCTTGAATGACCTTTTGTTTTATTAAAAAATATTAGTAATTACTTAAATTTTCCCCAAACGAAGAAGATTTGTTTGAATAAAGGAATAGATGATGTACAATAACTAACAAATAAATAACAAAATATATTTCTGTTCTGGTTCTTTCTTCCACGTTTTTAGCTAAAAGTTGCCTCCATTTTAGGGTGTAAATTCTATAAAATAAAGGAAATTATAAGTAAAAGAAACCTTCTTTCTAAAAGAAATTCTAGGGGTAACAAAAAATCAATCGTTCTACCTTATTTGCCAATATATTTTTATAATTCTTGTTGAAATTGATTGTGTACGAATGATATTTTGCTTTAGTAATATATTATTTGTAAGTACTTACGTTTTCAATACGTTATTCTTGTGCTCAAAAATACTTCAATTGAAGGAAGAATGGTTTCAATCAAAGGCCAAAAATAGTAGAATAAATCCAAAACATTGTCCTATAATCGCTGCTGGTGGTTCATTTTCCGTTTATAGTTGTTAATTACTTCCTATTTTTAGTGCTAAGCCTGCAAAATAAGGAAGTTGTAATGAGAAATATCTAACACTACTTTTCATTCTACGGGTACAAAAAATCAAGTGTTAGCTTGTTAAATTTCAACGAATTTTTACTATTTTTGTTCAACACAACCATAAATGAATAAGGTTTAGCTTTATTAACATATTATTAGCAAATACTTACGTGCGAAACATCTTTTAACGAATGATACTCCAACCAAAGGAAGAACTGTTGGATCTAACTAGAAAATGGCAGAAAAAACCCAAAATATTATACTGAATATTGCTGATGGTTTATTTGTCGCTTCTTTTATAGTGCCAATGCTACAAAATTAGGAAATTATATTCCTTTTCTTAAAAAATACAATGTTGATTTTTGTTATAAACAACACCACAACAAAGTCACTTGTCATGTCATCAGTCATGTCATGTCATTTACATTTTTCTTTCTGCTCATTGGCCTCTGTCGGTGGTAGTATTCAGTAACGGGTTATTATAGTCCTATGTTTTTAATTATACAACTGATTCAAAATTGTTTTAACTAAACTAATTTAATACTGTCTTACTACTTTTAAATTACCAATAATTATATGAATTATAACAAATCATTCAAGCAAACCTAAAGAAAAAAAAGTTGGCAACACTGATTCAACTAAGCGTCACTTCGGTTTCAGAAGCTTGGCTTGGCGCCATTTTGTGTCTATAACGGAATTAACCGTACGAACTTTTCAGTTTGGCCGGTTAATTTAAGTTTTAATTCAAATTCGGTTCGCGTTTTCTAAATCGTTTTTTCGTTTTTTTTTTTGTATATTCGTGGACTTCTCGCTTGTGTAGAAAGTATCGTGTTCGGTGCGATATTTTTGACTATAACGTCGGTGATAGTGTTGTGTGTGTGTGTGTGACTTTATTTTTTTCAGCGCTTTGGAATACCAGAAATAATTTAAAATGTAAGTTAATCTAATGATTACTTATTAATTAACAGCTTTATGCACCCTTAAAAACGATTAGCCACGCTTCAGTACCTCTTTTTTCATTGAAAAACACCTGTTGATTTTCTAACAGTTTAATGTTAGAATTTCAGTAAATAAGTAAAAGAAAAAGCTAAATGTGGGCCAATTTGTTTATTAATTAGCTTATAACCATTGCAAATTCATTTGGTTGTTAATTTATGTTGTTATTTACATAATTGTTTGATTTTCGTTCAACGTAGAATTTCTTCGAAAGCTATACTTTTCTAAGAAAAGCATCAAATAGCCTTTAAAAAGTATAGAAATGATTCTAAATGAAGTGATTTAATATCAAGTTCTATTATAATATAAGTAGGTTCTTTCTTAAACGCATTTGAAAACTTATTATTTCAAATAGTTTGATTATACGGTAAAAATAAGTCATCGAATAAATGTTCTTCGAACACTTAATTACTGTAATTTTTCACACTTTTTTTAGGCCTTTTTTCTTCGGTTTTTGTGGGCTTTTTTTTTGAGTGTTTAGGTGGTAATTGAATGTATTAGAGTGGGACTTTTTTGTCACTTTTTCCTCCGGTTTTTCCTGTTTTTTTTATAGTATTTAGTTTGTATTTTCTTGTATTTCAGTGTGATTTTTTGACACTTTTTTTAGGTCTTTTTTCTTCGGTTTTTGTGGGCTTTTTTTTGAGTGTTTAGGTGGTAATTGAATGTATTAGAGTGGGACTTTTTTGTCATTTTTTCCTCCGGTTTTTCCTGTCTTTTTAATAGTATTTAGGTAGGATTTTTTTTGTGTTTCAGTGTGATTTTTTCACACTTTTTTTAGCTCTTTTCCTCGTTTTTTGTCAGCTTTTTTTAGTGTTTAGGTGGTAATTTTGTGTATTATAGTGGGACTTTTTTGTCACTTTTTCCTCCGATTTTTCCTGTCTTTTTAATAGTATTTAGGTAGTATTTTTTTGTGTTTCAGTGTGATTTTTTCACACTTTTTTTAGCTCTTTCTTCCTCGGTTTTTGTCAGCTTTTTTTAGTGTTTAGGTGGTAATTTTGTGTATTATAGTGGGACTTTTTTGTCACTTTTTCCTCCGATTTTTCCTGTCTTTTTAATAGTATTTAGGTAGTATTTTCTTGTATTTCAGTGTAATTTGTGACACTTTTTTCTTCGGTTTTTGTGGGCTTTTTTTTGAGTGTTTAGGTGGTAATTAAATGTATTAGAGTGGGACTTTTTTGTCACTTTTTCCTCCGGGTTTTCCTGTCTTTTTTATAGTATTTAGTTTATATTTTCTTGTATTTCAGTGTGATTTTTTGACACTTTTTTTAGGTCTTTTTTCTTCGGTTTTTGTGGGCTTTTTTTTGAGTGTTTAGGTGGTAATTGAATGTATTAGAGTGGGACTTTTTTGTCACTTTTTCCTCCGGTTTTTCCTGTCTTTTTAATAGTATTTAGGTAGTATTTTTTTTGTGTTTCAGTGTGATTTTTTCACACTTTTTTTAGCTCTTTTTTCCTCGTTTTTTGTCGGCTTTTTTTTAGTTTTTAGGTGGTAATTTTGTGTATTATAGTGGGACTTTTTTGTCACTTTTTCCTCCGGTTTTCCTGTCTTTTTTATAGTATTTAGTTTATATTTTCTTGTATTTCAGTGTGATTTTTTGACACTTTTTTTAGCTCTTTTTTCTTCGGTTTTTGTGGGCTTTTTTTTGAGTGTTTAGGTGGTAATTGAATGTATTAGAGTGGGACTTTTTTGCCACTTTTTCATCCAGTTTTCCTGTCTTTTTTATAGTATTTAGTTAGTATTTTCTTGTATTTCAGTGTGATTTTTTGACACTTTTTTTAGGTCTTTTTTCTTCGGTTTTTGTGGGCTTTTTTTTGAGTGTTTAGGTGGTAATTGAATGTATTAGAGTGGGACTTTTGTCACTTTTTCATCCAGTTTTCCTGTCTTTTTTATAGTATTTAGTTAGTATTTTCTTGTATTTCAGTGTGATTTTTTGACACTTTTTTTAGGTCTTTTTTCTTCGGTTTTTGTGGGCTTTTTTTTGAGTGTTTAGGTGGTAATTGAATGTATTAGAGTGGGACTTTTGTCACTTTTTCATCCAGTTTTCCTGTCTTTTTTATAGTATTTAGTTAGTATTTTCTTGTATTTCAGTGTGATTTTTTGACACTTTTTTTAGGTCTTTTTTCTTCGGTTTTTGTGGGCTTTTTTTTGAGTGTTTAGGTGGTAATTGAATGCATAGACAAAATACACATATAGACCGGACACTCTGTCAAAAAAGTGGTTGGCCTGAATGTGCTGCCATCCATTGGGGTCCAACAAAACCT